TGCCACTTATCTGTACTCCAGTTATAATAACTGTACAGTACTGTTTTGGTAACTTGTCCATGATGTAAATATGTAAAAAGTTTGTGTGTTTCTGTTCTATGTCCTGTGTTCTGTTCTGTTTGTATTTGTATTTTTTTGCTGCTGTTACAACTACATTTCCCAGTTGGACAATTAAAGGATTATTCTATTCTATTCTACTTTTCCTGCATTGTGAATCAGTTTGTTGAGCCTGTTGGCCTCTCTGTCACTGATGCTGCCCACCACCCAGTGGACAACAGGAAAGCAAATGGCACAAATAGAAGATCTCCACAAACTGAAGGATCTGAGCTTTATGTTCTGCCCTAACAAATGTCTTGTCATGTCTTCTAACCTTTAAGCAGCCGATTTGTGTCATTTCATTTGTTTTGTACCAAATAGGTTGGTAGGATTTAGCCCTAAAGCCGTATATCTGGAGAGCAGGCTAGACTGCAGTTCCTCTAATGGAAACATTAAATGTGTTTAAATATCACTGAACTGGACTTTTCAGTTGTGTTTGTGCTGTTGGAGCCTTTCGGAGTATTTTAAAGGAGTGTTCTGACAAATAATATGGCTTGTTTTGCAGGTCATTAAAAGAACAAACAACAACAATTAAAAAAAGCTGGGACCAAAATGCTACCAATGACACCAACAATATCAGTTGGTGACATCACAGGCATTTTTTATATAGTTTTTTTCAACTGTCTGGTTCTCCACAGGAGTGCCACCAAACAAATAAAAACACAAGAACAGTTTCACTGGGTTGTGTCCACAATGTTTCGTGCACTACATTATCAGTACAGAAAAAAATAACTTTATGACATAAGTTTGGGTCACAAATATTAAATGAACATATATGTCAGTGATGAGCTTGTTTCTTCACCAGCTAAGAGTGGCTAAGCCATAGAAAGTGGGTCCTGTTACATACATGCCATCCATGAATTACGTACATGCTATGCTTCAATTTAACCCAAGAGCAGGTAAAAAACACTCAAACTGAAAGAATGTGATACAATATACGCCCCTGACTTGAGATGACCACTCTCAAGAGTCAAAGCCTTGCGGACTCTGGCTCCGTAACTGCATCTGCTCAGCTTTGTGGACTTCTCAGTGTTTTGTTGAAAAGCAGACTTTATAACAGTGAAGCTGGAAAACTGAAGCCACTTCCCAGAGTGAGGCGTCTGACAGTAGGTCTTACTTGGTTCATGCTGTAAATGGTTCTGACTGAAGATTCTCTTGAAGAGCGCACCTACTGCAACCTGCGTCTCATCTTGACTCGTGCTGCCTCCTGGTGGTGAAAGTCTGCAACAGCACCGTTTTATGCCCCAAAACTCTAAGGCCTAAGAGCTCTCAGGTTCAAATCCTGAGGAGGATTTGGCGTTATTGATTTGGTTTTTCATTAATAAGCTGCCTGGATGTGACTGAAGCCTGTCTGATCAAGTTTAAAGACCGCAGAGAGAAAAGGGCATGAACTGCAGTTATCATCATCAAAGAGTCCTCAGAGCCTACCACTCACTCACATGGGCTTATTTTGCTGTGTGAACAGTTTTAGTGTCAGGATGGGGAATTGAACAAAAGAAACTTACACTGAAACTAATGAAAACTTAAGTAAAATTGAACATTTTAAAACAGGAAAAACTCAACTGAAATGAAAACACAAATGATTCAGAGAGTTTGTTGCATGTTTAATAATGTCCAAGTACATCCATCCAAAGTCATCCTGTGAGCTTTGATAAGGCTGAACAGCGTCCAGGTTGAAAACAACAGCTATGTCTGTACTTTAGCATCAGAAGAGCTAAACACTCAGATATTAGATCCAAATTCTTTTAATATTTTCTAAAAAATGTATCAGTCTGAACTAGTCCTCCATCCTTGCTTTTTCCCTCTTTCCATTTTTATTTCTGTTTTGCTTTTATCAGACTTCATCCAGCAAAAGGTCTGAACTGCATCTCTCCATCTCGAGAACACTTCAGTACTAATTGTATTGTTACGTGCAGGACTGTAATTGAGTTTTCCTTGCACTGTTTTCTTGACACTTTTAGTTTTGTGCTCTTCTTTTACCTCTTCAGAAAACCTTTCTCATTTGGATACACTGTTTTTGACTTTCTGAGCCACAAAAATATGAAAAACAGCAAAACATTTGTACATTGGAAACACACTAGCAACTTGTGTCAGCTTCCCTTAGCGGTGACAGCAGCAGCTCGGATGTTTTGATCTGTGTGTGGGATTTGTCCAGCCCTCCGCCTCATGCTGTGACATTCAAACAGAGCTGCGTGTCATTAGCCTGGAAGATCTTTGACTGCCACATAAAAGCCGAAAGCCGGCTGATCAGCACCAGCTTCCCGGGGAGGGGGATGTCTGCTTGTGCCATAAGCCTGCGACCGCCACCACGGCTTCTCTTGTTTCCTCAAACAGGAGTCTGTTTTGCAGCCGACTTACAAATGACCAGGGTTGGTCTCGTTAGAAGTGAGGCGAAGAGGGGGCGGCTTAACAACACCAGAGTCCCCTGTTTTTATTGGGCTCATTACTGATGGATAACACAAGTAGAGGGACAAAAGGCAACAGGGAGGAGAATCCTCTAATGAGAAAAAGAGAGCAGATACTATCATCTGCATTGCTTTTCATCTGTACAAGGAGATTCACCTGAGTAGAGCGGGGTGTGTGTGACTAGTTACCTGAGGTAGTTTTACTATCAGTCTATTCTTTCCACCAGCTACCAAACATGTTTGCTTTTACAAAAGGATTGTGAATCATGTTAAGCCAGGCGGTCTTTAAAACTGAAATTCTAAACAGCAATCATCTGAACACATTCTGTAAACTTTAGGAGAATACTGCCCAGACACAAGGTCTAAAAACAAAAGCCATCAAAAAATAAATCAGTAGATTAAAATCTGGCAGCATTCCCCAAATTCCCTGAAAGGAAGGACCAAAAAGCTCTCCAGAGAGTGATCCGTACAGCAGAACGCTGCTGCAGGATTGCTCTCCCCCCGCTTCAGGACACCTACACCAGGAGATGCCGGACTAGAGCAGCGCAGATACTGAAGGACCCGTCCCATCCTGGCAACAAACTGTTCCAACTTCTGCAATCTGGTAGAAGGTTCCGCATCTTCCGGGCAAGGACAGAGAGACTCAAGAGGAGCTTCTATCCCCAAGCCATCCGTGCCCTAAACACACACACCCGCCCTCTCACATCATCTATAATTGACTGAGACAGGACTCTTCCAGACACTCTAAACCAAGGCACAATGTACATTTCAATTCCTTTAATTTTAAATATGTTTATATTGTCTATCCTGTAAAATAGTCAGATGTCTATTCATATTAATGTACAGAATTCACCTGCTTGCTGCTACTACTGCACATTCACCCAATGGTGTGTTTGTGTGTGTGTGTGTGTGTGTGTGTGTGTGTGTGTGTGTGTGTGTGTTTGTGTGTTGTGTTGTATATAATTTCTTCCTCACACCCCCCCCCCCAATTTTTTTGCACATGTCGAGGAGCGTGTCAGGCTACATTTCACTGTGTGTTATACTTGTATAACTATGCATGTGACAAATAAAGAACCTTGAACCTTGAAGCCTGAAGTGGGATTTATATTCCCATGCTGATGTCAATTTCTGTATCAAAAAGAGAGATTTGTGTGGGAATTCTGCCAATGCAGACACTATAGAAACAAACTGCAAACTGCATGCTGACAGTGATGCAACAGTTTACCACAGAGTTCAGGAAGCACAGACAGAGGCCACAGTGGACGGTTTGGACTGTGTTTAACACTTGACTTCCCTTCAGTTGATGAACTTCTTCCAATAATCGAATTTCTGTCTTCTCCACAGCTGGAGCTCAGATAAGGAACCAACCACAGTTCAAACAGAGTAGCCTATCCTGCTGGCTGTTCCATGCATCTTCAACACCCCCTCCTAATGAATAGTTATATATGTATAGGGATTGTTGCACCTATATCTTTTACATTGACTTCACTCAAGCTCTACAGGTGCAACCCATTCAATACTATGAATTCATAAAATAACAGTGTTGAAATGCTCGTGTTTGTGTGTTTTTAAAAGGTCAGCATGGGGACACATCGAGCCGCAGTGTGGGCACAAACACAGCAACCTGAACTCTGAAGCTGCGCACAGATTAAAGCCATCTCTCGGTCAAGCAAGAGACTCACAGTAGAAAGTAATTGGTGCCTCACAGCAGGATGCCAGACACAAACATTAATAAACAACAACTCTTACTTCTAAACTTGTTAGACGGCGACATTTTAAAGAAGAACAGCAACATATCTCTGTGTGGACGCACAGCGAGGGTACGTGAGAGCGAATAAAACAACGCTGGTGATGTTTAATCACCTCTGCCACATTAAGATGTGATTTCAAGCAACGAAAGAACGGATGGAGATCAAAAAGTGATATTTTAAATCCAGAACATCTGCTTTGCACGCCTGCATCGCCTTCTCATTTGTCAGGAAGGAAAACAAAGCTGCTTTAGTTGGATGTGTTAAACGGCCCCCTGCCCCCCTTGGGGGCGGGGGCACAGGGGCAGACCACCAACGCTTTTTTGGCCACCATGCTGCGCTGACACGGACAAACAAAAGCACAAAGCTGCAGCGGGGACCCTTTGTAGCTCGACTTTAATGTGCCCCGCCTCTTTCTCCTGGAAGCGGAGCAGCTACTGTAAAGACTGCAGAGCACAAGCGTGCAGGAGAAATGATCGCTCCTCTGTCCCGACGCTAACCAAACTGCTAGGGTTTGCATTTTTTTTAAATTATTTGAGCACAAAACAAACAATTTTGAAATGCCTGCTGAGTATTTTACAAATGATCCCTTCAGCCATCTCTGTGCAGAACAACAACTTTAAACTCGTTTAACTTACATCAACTTTTAACCTTGTTTTTATATGCACCATCAACTCCAGTAAACTGAGATGAAAACCTGCAAAAATACCTTAAATGATATATACAATGCAAAAATTCCTTTCAAGCATTCTTCAGGATTTAAGCCTTTAATGGTGCTCTTTCAACAAAGTCATCTCATTGCATCTTTGCAGTAATTTAACAGTCAGTATTTATTGAGACTATTTCTGCTAGATTTGGAAGAAAGTTTAGTTAATGTCACATTCTTCTAGTTCAACATGAAGCATTGACTGAGTTTCTCAGCACAGTGTTAATCTCAGAGTTAGCTTCAAGGATAGCTCATGATGAAGCTTCACCAGTCCCACAGTTTTGCTTTGTGGACAATAAAAAGCCTACGTAAGACCTGCCTTGATGTATGCTCAATCATCCAGGTAAGTAAATTATCTGGACATCCAGATGAATAGAATCAACTTTTGGGATTTACATGAAAGCACATGATGTAAGTCCGATGTGTCATGTGTTGGGTACAGACAGATTCTTGAGGGACGATTGTTGTGTGGAGCTGATCGATGTTCTGTTAGCTGCCCTGCAGGTGTAAATGCTGCGGCTCAAATATTGCTGATACGTTTTTAATTAATCTCTCAGATTCACAGACTAGATATTAAATGTAAAGATGAACGATTCCTGTAATTTTCCATTCAGGCTGACTGGTTGGTCTGTGGTCGTGGTTGAACCACGAGCTCGGGGAAACCCGTTTGCTCATCCATCTCTCTGGTGAACTCCAGGTCTACCGCTTCACCAATGACCACCTCAGCTGTGGTGAACACCTCCAGATCTCCCAGCACGTGACCTCCCACTGTCTTGCCCTCGAAGTCTGAGAGGCTGATGTGGATGTGGGCGTCTGGGTTAAGAGTGCCCACCAGGGAGACGATCTCAAAGGGCCCACTGAGGTGCACCACCTGAAGGAAAAGTTTAAAAGCTGACATCATGACGAGCCCACGTGTCTCAGAGCTCTATAAATACAACCCAACAAGCTGCCTCGACTACCTCATTTGTTTTTGTTGCCGTGTCGTTCGCCAGCCGCAGCGTCGCCTTGGTGAGGCTGCCAACACACGTGACTATGAACGGCGCTCGGAGACGCTTCTCCTCCACAAAAGCCTGCAGAGTTCCCAGCAGCTCCTGACCTGGGCGGACCCTGATCGCATGGACCTGGAGGGCCGATCCTGCTCCTGCTGAACTCTGGGAGATAAAGACAGAATTATTCCTGTGGTTTTCGTCTTCCTTCATTTAAAAAAAAAGGGGAATTAATTTATTAGGTCTTTTCTCATGTCCTGTGTTATTTATGTTCTACAACTCAAACTTCAAATAAATGAATAAAAAATTGATAAAAAAAAACCAAAAAAACAACAACAACAGAATTGTGTGTTATTCCAGAGTGGACAAAAATATCTCTTTTGTTGGTCTGTGTGTGTGTGTGTGTGGTCCATTCAGATCTTTAACAGGATCAGTGTGCTTATCCAAACACCAGGCTGACCTCTGACCTCTGCGGGGGTGAAAGAGGGCGTCACGTGCAGCCAACATTAATGGAGCAGCTTTACAAAGAGCCTTTTTTAAGAAAACAGTCAGAGGAGGTGGAGCACACATCACATTACTTTACGTTTATTTACCCGACATGTTGACGAGCCAGACAGCGAACAAGCAGCCGTCTCGAGCTTTAACGGAAGGTCGGATTTGATTTTGTTTTAAGAGCAGGAGAAACTCCAGTTTGAGGACAAGCTGCTGTAAAATGTTGAAGCCACTCAGTCAACTGAAATGTCAGTATTTATGTGTGGAGTGACAGCAGCTTTACATTTTATAGTATTTACTTTTAGCCTTTTCAACATTTATCATGCTACTCTTATTAGCAGACTACAAAACTGGGTCGGCATCACTGGCACTGCTCTCAAATGGTTTTCTTCATACTTCTCAAACAGATATTTCAGAATTCATATGAATCGATGTATATCATCATCTGCACCTCTCGTATGTGGAGTGCCCCAGGGCTCAATCCATCCACCAGTTCTGTTTCTTTATAAATGTTGCACATGTACATTCATGAAAACAGAACAACATCACTTAAAAACAAATATGCGATTAAAAAGACAAAACAAATCATCAGTAAAATGTCAGGTATATGCATGTTTGGGTTTTTTTAAATGCACATTTTCCTAAAGCTAACCTTTGTTGTCTCAGTGTCTCTGTGGCGTCTCTTTCAGGGGAAGGAAAACGTTCTTATCAACTGTCATTAGATTGTTAAATGTATACACGTGAATCACTTTTCCACTTATTTTCTGCCTTTTCAATTTTAGTTAAACTTTTTTTCATTACTTTTTGGAGCATCATCGTCCACTTGATGCTCTAAAGCTGAGTCAAGCCCCACAAACTCCCATGTTAAAATGTCCAACTTTACAGTAGCAACAAACACGTTTACAGCACGCTATAAAATTCTACTTTGGCCTCTGTGGACGGTTTCCTCCTTCACAAAATTTTTATGGGAGTTTTTCTTTTTTAATAACTCATCAATCAGAATACTGCTTAAGGCTTTTGTAAGTTAAGGGCATGGCTAGAATGGGTTAGATTTGAACCTTACAAAAACCCTACCAGTTCAATGGTAACCTGGTGGTTGATAAAAGGTTAAAGTCCAGCAGGGAGTTGCTGTATTGCAGTTTACAGATATCGACTATTACATATCTGTTGGCTTTTAATCAGGCGTGTGCTGAAACTTATTAATTACATATTTTATCTTAAGTAAACAATGGCTGACTTATTAGTAATAACATTTTTCCACATATTTGTGCAGCACTTTATCTGGTTATTTGTGCTTTATAAATAAACTTGAGTTTCGTGGGCATAAATACATTTTGAACAAAACAAAGATGTGATATGTTCCTAAATATAATGTTGATGCACTGATCAGTTTACCCCAGAAAGAAAACACTAAATATTCAGATAACTCGTGTCCAGTATCTCCACACACGCACAAGAGATTTAACCCCAGTTGTTTCAGAATACAAAAATAAGTAAAAACTAAGATAAATCCACCCTGAAAGAAGAGTAGAAATCATGCTCTGACTGTAAATGTAAAAATAAATTACAATGTGGCGTTCAATTAAACTATGGTCTTGGCTTGCCCATGTGTCCTGTCCCTGAACACAAATCTGCAGATTAAAAACACTCTAATAAACTGCTTTCAGACTGTTACGTGTATTTATCTGAATTACCTTTTCACTCTTGTTTTTTTCCTCTGTTTTGAATTTTAACAAAATGTTTTAGTTTTAGTTTTTTTTTTACTGAAAAATCTAATTTTTACGTGACGCTCCAAAACTGAGCCAATCCCAGCCTCCCATGTTCAAATGTCCAACATTACAGTAGCAATAAACATGTTTACAGCCTGATATAAATTCTACTTTGGCCTCTATGAAAAGTCTCCTTCACACACTTTTTACTGGAAGTTTATTTATTTATTTTTATTTGAATAATGGTAAGGCTTAAAAGTTCACCTATCTCACTAATCGTATCACTGAACTGGACTTTTCCACCATGTTTGTGGTTTTTGTGCCTTTTTAAAACAAATTTAATGAAACTGTCTGAAATTGGAGTTTTTATTACTTAGAACCTATGAACATGTGTGCTGCACAAACACAGCTGACAACTTACCAAATGATAGGGTGTAGCTGATAATTTAACACTCAACCATCTCACATTACTTCAGTCACCTCTGGCTCACAAACGACTGTGTGTGAGTGACGTCACGGTGGCTTCTTCCATTTTGATGTAAAGTCGGTAGCTTTGGCATCACTTTATATGTGGTTTTGCAGCAGAGATCAATGACAGGATCTTCACATGTGGTAAGCAGTTAAAAAACAAAACAAAAAAACAAACCCTGTACAAGATAGTATCGCAGACTTAATATTTCATGGTTTCAAGTTCAAATTTGGAATCACTAATGTCAGCGGTGTGACATCTATGACAGGGGTAAGAAACATACCAGTGATTCACAGGTTGTGATTGTGACCCAACAGGGTCTGGTTTTTATACCTTAGGACTATGACTGTGGCTGGCAGGTAGGGTTGCCAACTCCCTGAAAAATAAATAAGGGACACCTCGTGGCCAGGGCCGGGCAACCCAGTTGTCTTCACCCTTCCCAGTGTGGTAGCTCTTTTTTTTGTGTGTGAAATTATTTTTTAACCATTTGACTTGAATTTGATTTAAGCAGATGCATATTCTTTGTGATATGAGCATATGGGAAACAAATGATCATTTAGCCATTTATTTTTAGCTCACAATAACATTAACACAGTAAAACAGGTCTCTTTCTTAAACAGAAGCCTGTCATGCTTAACTTTTGAGAATATAAGTAAATCTTTCTTTAAAAGAACTCTGTCCTGCTTAACTTAAAATTATATAAATTAATAGAAAACAATAGAACAAAATCATTATTGTAACAGTGCATATTTAGTGCATTTAGTACAATTGGCTTCAGTTGAGGTATTATTTCAGCTTTTCTAATGCTAATCAGCTGCTCCTGTTTGTAAACCCCTTGTTCCCATGATTACGCATCATAACTCATCATCATTATTCATCTATGTATTACTTTTATGTATTAGTCATCTATTTGTTGTAATCATCTATCCTTGCAGTTGTTTATTACACAAAATAAATTATATTATCACACTTCTGGCCACATAGCGCTGATATTCACTGCACATGCCCATATTAACCTTAACCAGAGGGTTTAAAAAAAACAAACCAGTGTTTACATACCATATCTGCTTCTGCCGTGGCCTGGTGGACAAAAAATTGGTTAAGGGTTCCCCGAGCTTTCACGCCCCTCATGTTCTTCATGTCCCACCATTAGAAGCATGCCTATGGAAAAAGTGCGCCGGCACACAGTTCAGTGCGCTTTATAGGTGTTATCGTGCACTTTTCCTTTTCCCATTCCTCCCTGTACTTTTGCAGCCTATTTTTCTTTCTCTGAGCGAACAAACATTGCTGCTCTAATGCTGGGCTTACACTGTGCGATTTTTGGCCCATTTTAGCCGATTTTTGAGTCGTGCGGCCGATTTGGTGATCGGCCCAATTTTGGCCTTCATCGTGCATCGTGTAGTATACGTGGGGTAACGAGAAGCGATTAACACCTCGAGCAGCTCCCGATCATCAATCGCTCGTGAGGGTGTCACCGCAGCTGCTCACGCGCAAACACGTAGCCGTCGGTGAAAAAGACGGAGCAGCACGGCTGTGCAGCGTGTGATCTGGACACAAGCGATGGAGGCACAACTTGTAGAACTTTGGAAAGCTCATCCGAGCCTTTTCGATGTGGCATCACAAAATTATCACGACCACAACAACCGTGAAAATAGTTGGATTTACATGCTGCTCAATCACAGCTGCCTGATTAATGTTTTTCATTAGCAATTTAGCAAAGTTGATGGTGGTGGTGTGCGTGTCTGTGTGAGTGAAAGACAGAGAGAGCGAGCGACAGATTTTCTGTTATAACCTTCATTTTATGGAGGCACAGTGTGAGCACTCAGGTCGCATCAGAGCATCGGGCGGTATAGTGTGAGACCTGCATCGTGACCTACCAACTTCTAACCCCTGCGAGTCAATCGTGCAGTTTGAAAATCGCACAGTGTATGTCCAGCTTTAGGTGTTTCCCTGTTGGCCATGCTTCTTGTTGTGGTCATCTGTTGTCTTCCGGTATTTTCTCCGTAAGCGACCTTTCCTCGACCAATGAGATGAGCGGTAATCTGAATTGTCATACTCGAATTGTCATAAGTGTGCTGTCAGCTCATTGGTCACAAAGCAGGAGAGGGGCTGGGAATTATGTTTTCAAACAAAGCGTTAATTCCATTAAAAGTTATAGACTACTTTTGATTCTCACTGTATTACGGGACAAAGTGCGTCCCTTATTAGCTCAATACGGGACGTGTACTTTTGTTTCGAAATACGGGACGATTCCGTTTTTTAAGGGACGGTTGGCAACCCTACTGGCAGGGCTCATCAGAGGGTCATGAGAAGTTTTTAGGCTGAGCTGAATGTCTGCAGCTGCTGTGTGAGCCACAAAATAACGTAGACAAGTATCTTTTCTTTTACAAAATAAGGAGCTGGTGTAATTTTGTTTTTAACTTTATATTTTTGGAGGAAGACAGAAACAAACCTGTCGGGGACATTTAAAGAAATTCACATGTATCTGCAGCTTTAAAAGGAACCAAAGGTGATGAAGTAGAAGAAACTTACCATTCTGCACTGCGCTGAGGATCCTGAGGGACTAAAGTTCAGGTAAACATTTAAAGCCACACACACGCAGGGCCATTACGCTGTGGACTGAACTGAGCATGCTCAGCAGCCAGAGAACCCTTCCAAACGTCTCACTTCCTGCTGAGTGTGGAGTTAGGGTTTTATTTTTCTTGTCTTTGACCGCCACCTGCTGGAGAATATGAAGCTCTGCATGGTGAAAATAATGACGGTGATGCAAATGAAATGAGAGAAGCTAAAAGAACAAAAATAAACAGATAAATAAATGCACACAATAAAAGAGAAACCCCAATTCTGAACTCAAAATATAAGATATAAGCGAGGTCTTATTACGAGGTCTATGCCAAAACTTTCCTAAGTTGTATTTAAATTGTAAAAAGTATTGGTAAGTACCAAAAAAGATTTTATATTTCTCTAATGGTTAATTCACCAGTACGCAAAAGCTCTGCAATCGAAATTGCATTTTTAATGCTCAAATATAATTATCTTTGTTATCTATGGATTTTCAAATTTACTGTTTAACAAAAAGGCAGAAAAAAAATAGAACACATTATTATTTATTTCATTAAGATGCCAGATTACATTTAATTACTTGAATTCCTGATGAGAAAATCAGTTTTAGTGGTTGGATGTTAGGTTTCTGAGACTGTGGCTCAAATATGGGTATAAAAACACGATTTCAATTTTTCATTTACCTAATAAATGACACATGGTTTGTTTTGGGGGAGTGCTTGTTTTAAAAACGTTTTTGACAGATCTGTAAAATATTTGTAAAGCTGTCTTTTAATGACAGGTGGTCTAATAAATGTGTTTTGCACTGAATTAAAAAGTCCCAGCACTAATAGTGTCATTTTCTTGATGGAGAAACAAAAGCCAGCGTTGGCCATCCTGATAAACATGCATATGCAGAATAACTTAATTATTAAACTATTATTAAATTTAAAATTAAAAAGCAGACCAGAAAAACATCATCATCTCTGTGTGATTGTAACTAAAAAAAACCCCATCAGGTTTTAAAAATAAAATAAAATCCACATATTCATATTTCTGTAATTACTCTGACTCTGTTTTTATTTTTCCACTGTCTCGTTATCAGCCTGTCCATACATACACCTGAATCAGAGTCATGGCTATTTATACATCTTGAGTGGACCAAAATAAAAATAAATTAAAAAAATAAAACAGAAATATTGTACACGTCATGTGTCAGTATATATATATTTATCTTCATGCTGTGTGATCTGCTTTGAGTATGTTTTTTTAATCAGGCCCCATCTTATCTTAATGACCTTGTAGTACCATATCACCCTATTAGAGCACTTCGCTCTCGCTCTGCAGGCCTACTTGTTGTTCCTAGAGTATTTAAAAGTAGAATGGGAGGCGAGAGCCTTCAGTTTTCAGGCCCCTCTTCTGTGGAACCAGCTTCCAGTTTGGATTCAGGGAGACAGACACTATCTCTACTTTCAAGATTAGGCTTCAAACTTTCCTTTTTGCTAAAGCATATAGTTAGGGCTGGACCAGGTGACCCTGAATCCTCCCTTAGTTATGCTGCAATAGACATAGGCTGCCGGGGGATTCCCATGATGCATTGAGTTTTTCCTTTCCAGTCACCTTTCTCACTCACTATGTATTAACAGTCTCGATTGCTAAAACACATTTCTTGAAACTACGCCTCATATCCTCACAACAGTAAACACAAATCCATAACATCTCACTCAATTTCCCAAACATCCTATTTCCAGGTCAAAATGAAGCTCTACACCCAAAACTATTCACTCCTGCTGAAAAACCAAACTTTGCCCTCAGACATCAAACACAAGCCCTCAAAAACACACACACTACAACAGAGTTTTGCACACTGGTACAATTAATTCAAAACAATAGTTCCAAAACAAATAGGTTGCTTATGGTTCTCCCCTTCAAAACCCTTGTCACATGATAAACACAAAAGACGCAACCAATGTATGTACAGTGGCACATTGTCATTCATGTACTATACAGTACAACACACACCAGAAACATTATCCCACCTCAGCATCTTGTCTTTGGTCTGGGTCAGGCCAGAGAATCTCATCCACATCACAGGCTATATTGGCCCCAGCCAGGCAGCGGGGGTAAAATCCTCTTGCATGCCTGATCCACCCCTGGCATGCATCTACTGATATGTCTAGGCAGGCCTCTTCCATGGCCTGAAGGAGGTGAACACGGACATAAGGTTCTCGGTCATACACTTTCCACCGCCATGCCGAAAATAACTCCTCTATCGGGTTTAGAAAGGGAGAGTATGCAGGCAGAAAGATATTAGAAAACCTTGGGTTATTGGTAAACCAGTCACGAACCAGAGCAGCGCGATGGAAGCTGACGTTATCCCACACAACAACGTAGTGAGGCTGCTCTGGCTGTGCTGGTTCCCTGTAGTCCAGCTGGAACATATGTTGTCTTAAACCATCAAGAAAAGCAAGGAGAAGCATAGTGTTATAGGGTCCTAGTACGGCATGGCGGTGGAGTACCCCTCGTTGGCTGATGGCTGCGCACATAGTGACATTCCCCCCACGCTGACCAGGGACATTTACAATAGCCCGATGGCCAATTATGTTCCTCCCCCTTTTCCTTCTTTTGGTCAGGTTAAAACCTGCCTCATCCACAAAGATTATTTCATGGGGAACAGGCCGTCCTTCAATCTCAAAGATTCTCTGCAAAACACATAACACAGTAGAGTCAATCGGTACCCTGAACCACAGTTCAAGAGTGCTGAAATGGCAGCATAAACTGCCATGCTGTGATGGTACACAATACTTTATACAGTATCAAAACTCATACCTGAACATATTCCACACGTTGGTTTTTCACTCTGTCAGAGTTTCGTTCGAAAGGGACTCGGTATGCCTGTTTCATCCGGAATTGATTCTTTCGGAGGATGCGGTCAATTGTGGAGAGGCTGATGGCATTTATGCCTCGAAAAAGATGATCATCCTCAATCACTCTCCTTTGAATCTCTTGCAGGCGGATTACATTATTTGCAATTACCATGTTTACAAGTTCCCTCTCTTGCTCCTCCGACAAAAGCCTTAACCTGCCTCCACCAGGTGGTCGTCTCTGTGTCCTACAAAAATAGAAGCACTCATTACTGTAACTGTCACACATTCATTTTACAGGCAAATAATGGAAACATACTGAAACTCAAGACACATAAGTTCAGTAACTTAAACGTTACTGTACAAAGCAGTCTTACTGCAA